GAGGCAGTGTCCTGTGGATGATCATGCCATGCAGGTAGCAGAGGAGCAGTGGGACAGCGCTGAGCCTACTAGAGCTGGAGGATACTGTCGGCCGGGCTCCTGAGACAGCTCCCCTTTATAAAGCACTCACTGTGTGCTGGCCACTCCACTGGCAATGTCTGGTGAACGCTTCACTCTCCTCTGGGGCCCGGTGTATCGTCCCTCTGGAAGAGGTGCAGAGCTGCTGAACACCTTGCCAAAGTCACACGGCTCCTTAGTAGCAAAGCCAGGATGTGAGCCCTGGCTTGGCTGACCGGACCCACAGCTTCCTTCCCCCCCCCCCCCCCTCCCCAGGATGGCCCCGTATCCTCATCCTGCTAGACTTGCCCCAATGGGAGACAGCTTTAAAAAAAACACACCAAAACAAAACAAAAAACAACTGGCCAGTACCTGTAAGGATGAGCAAATGCTCTGAGCTGCTGACTTCCTCCATCTGCTATACTTTAGGAGTGGGCGGCGAGGAGCAGCGGGGAGTGGCGGCATCAAAGAGGCATAAGAGGAAAGACCAGCAAGCTTGTTCCTGGCTCAGTTGTTTACTACCTGTGTGACTCACGGAGCTCCCCAAGCCCTCATTTCCTTCTCTGAAAAACGGGGAATAAGAGTAACTGCGTGTACGGTGTAAGAATTGGATGGCTCGTGAGGCTTGTGAGAAGGTAATGAAACGATGCCTGCAAGCCACTGACATAGCGCTTGTCACAGAATAGGTACTCCGTCAGTGCTGATACCCTGCCAGGCGCCACTGTTTGCTCATTCATTCTAAAAGCATCTGTTACATGGCTGTTGTGTGCTGGGCACCACGTACACTCGGGGACAAACACACGAGGCCAACAGTGCCTGCACCCAGGGAGTTGGCAGTCCAGCAGAGTCACAGGCATGTACCCCCTGTTTCCCCGAAAATAAGACAGCGTCTTATATTAATTTTTTCTCCCAAAGTTGCGCTAGGTCTTATTTTCAGAGGATGTCTTATCTTTCCAAGCGCTAGGTCTTATTTTCGGAGGGTGTCTTATTTTCAGGGAAACACGGTATGCAGAGAAGCCTGGCCAAGGGCCCCCGGAGCACATGGGACCAGAGTGCACCGGGCAAGACATGGCTATTTCCCAGAGAGTAGGCGAAGGGGCACGGGGTCGGCGTCAGAGCAGATGTCACAGAATTTACTCCCTGTCATTCCTGTGGCTGATCACTCCCCACCAACGGGAATCTTATCTCCTGGAAAAAAAATTTTAAAAATCCATTTTTTCTAAAAGCATTAAAAAAAAAAAAAAGTCTATGCAAATTTTGGAAAGCAAAACAGGAAGCCAAATGCTAGGTGAGGGAAAACACTCCTTCCTTCCTTCTCCCAGTCTCCTGTGCTTGGAAGTTTCCTGCCAGGATGTTGACCAGAGAAGCAGCCGGACCACGAGTCAGTTATTCCTCATAAGCTCTTTAAAAAGAAGCTGGCCTCATTTTTATTTATTTATTTTCACATTCCGTGGCCTTGGGAAACACCTCCTAAGGAAACAGAAGTGTTCAAAAGAGATTTGGGGAGAAATGATTCCTTCTGGGTCTACATTGCCCCTGTATGACCCTGGCATTCTGCCTTTGAGTCTGCGCTGGATTTTTCTACAAAATGACAGCCTGACAGGGCTATGGCCGTCAGAGTTTGAGTTCTGGCTCCACAGTGAATAGTTACATGACTTTGTGGCCATTGGGAGAGATGAAGGAGCCATGTAATGACCTTGGCACTTGGCCCAAGAAATGTTAACACTTTATTATTCATTTTTATCTCCTTAGAATTCATCCATTACAGCCTGTGAGGCTAAGGACACGTCTGGCCACCTTCCCCCTGAGGTTCTGCACTGCCCGTCACTCTGCCCCTTTCTTGGTTCAACCACGTTCTCCCCTCCTCAGTCTTGCCACCGCTGTCCCTTTACGTGACCACTCTCCCCTCCTCACTTCATCTCTGTGACTTTTATTTTTTTAATTTAAGGTACTTAAAAAAAGTGTATACACACACACACACACACACATATACATATATATATTTGATTTTTCACAGAGAGGAACGGAGAGAGATAGTTAGAAACATCGATGAGAGAGAGAAACATTGATCTGCTGCCTCCTGCACACCTCCTACTGGATATGTGCCTACAACCAAGGTACATGCCCTTGATCGGAATCGAACCTGGGACTCTTGAGTCTGCAGGCCGAACCCGTTAGGGCCATCTTTGTGACATCTACTCGTCCCTTGCATCTCAGCTCAGATTGTGTGTTCACGGAAACCTCGTCTGACATCCCAGTCTAGGTTAGGTGTCCTGCTGAATGTGCCCATAAGTCCAGTCCCTTTTTCATTGTGACATCATCACACTTGTCGTGACTTGTTTATGTCCAATTTCATACTGGAATGGAAGCTATGCGAGAGCAGGGACCACGTGTCTCATTCTCTTCTGGCTCCCAGCATCTAGCTCAGTCCCTAGAGTGAAATGGCACTCTATGGATAACTGTTGACTGAGAGGTAGGCCGGCAGGTGGCCTCTTTTGGGGGGTATTTTCTGTTACTTGCAGTCAAAACTCACCCTCAGTAACACAAAAATAAGGCACAAGGGGGCAGAGTAAAGGAAAAGAGCATAGAACACGTTTAATATCGCCCTCAAATAACCAGGATGGGAGAGCAGTGTCTCAGAGGAAGACCTGGTTGAGTTGGTGGGTGAGTAAGGTTTTGGCTAATCTGGGAGGTAAGGTCAAGGTGGTGGTTTAAGGCCATGAGCAATGGTGAGTCATGAGTTACGTGTTGAGCGTCAGCAATGCCCTCCGAAGAGTCTTCGGGCAGCGGAGGGCATGGCGGGCTGTAGAGGGGAGAGAGGCATCCGCTGGGCTGTGGCAAAGTGAACCAGGGGGTTGGCTGCTGGAGCTCAGAGCCAGAGGAATGGAGTGTGGGAAGTACCTCACAGCTTTATGTCTGCACAGTGAGGACAGAGACCTCATAAGGCTCACGTTGCTGGTGTGTAATTCACCGAATTGAACAACATAACAATGATAGTGGATTTATTTTCCTTTTATAAGAAACTCAGAGGGAGAGGGTTACTAAGGCAGGGTCATGGAGACCTGGACCGCAACCAAGGTACATATCTTCAGTGCTTTGGGTAACCTTGGCCATAGAGTCAAATCCGGAGTTATCCGAGATAGAGGGCGTTATTTTGTCTCAGCTTTAAGACAAACTTCTAGGAAGGAATCTTTGTTTTAAAAATTCTTTCCATTAAGATCTGGAGAATAATGTTGAGCTGTTATAGGAAGTTACAACCTCTTAGCTTGCTTTTTTAGTTTGTATGACACGGTGGCAGAGGAGGCCAGAGAAGCCCCTATGTATCACTCTTCTTACCTCCTTCAGTAACTTGACGCTGGTGAACACACTTGCTTATAAAACTCTCTGGTTTTCCAGCTGAAAATATGGAGATCTAGAAAACACACCTTATTTGCCAGCTCCCCTTGATAGAGGTGGTCCTGTTGCTGAGTTTTGACTAATGAGTTGGGGGTCGAAGGCTCATGTGGAAGCATCTGGAAATTTTTTTTAGGGCACCCAGGGCCTGTTCTCCGCCCTCTTTCTTCTTTACCCTTCCTCTGCTTTGCTGCTGCCACGCAGATGTGGCCGCTCCCAGGGATGACAGAGTGAGGAGACAAAGGGCATTGCAGCCCAGAGGACGGCAGAGTTGCCACACCGGCCCTGGACTGCCTCCCTGGACCTTCACAGGAGCCTGAAATAACCTCATATTTTCGTTCACTTCTCTTTGGGCGGATTTTCTGTTACTTCCAGTCAAAACCAATCCTCAGTAATACAAAAAATAAAATTTTGTTCTATTAACTCATGTACCTTATTACAAATGTTTTTAAACTTCTCTCTTCATTCTGTCCTCCCCACTATCTGTCTCCCATGTCATTGATGAATGATCTCTTCAAGTCCTGGCTGCATAGAAAGAAATCAATACCATTCATGGATGGTTGGTTTGCTTTAGATTTTACTGTTCAATTTCTTTCATATTTTCAAGTTATTCTTCAAACAAAATCCTGTACTGTCTTGGATATTTAATTATCTTCTCTTATTAAATTATAACTTCTTAATATCAGAGACTTTTGTGTGTGTGTGTGTGTTTTAAAATATATTTTTATTGATTTCAGAGAGGAAGGGAGAGGGAGAGAGAGATAAAAACATCAATGACAAGTGAGAATCATTGATTGGCTGCCTCCTGCATGCCCCCGGCTCGGGATCAAGTTTGCAACCCAAGTATGTGTCCTGACTGGAAATCAAACCATGGCCTTCTGGTTCATAGGTTGATGCTCAACTACTGAGCCACACTGGCTGAGCTCAGGGACTGTTTTAAACTTATTTTCCATTTTTTCCCTGTCATCTCTCCACCTCTACCTTTAATAGTTCCTACCTCAGTACCATACTCGCTGCATTGTTTAAAATACTCGTTCAAGAAATGAATGAATGAAGGTACCTCTTCCTTCATATCGTTCACATTTCTTTCCCCAAACCTTGTTTTTTCTTTTCCACATTCTGGGATTCTGCTTTCTTCTGCGAAGCTGCCCAAGCATCATTCTTCAGGGACCATTCCCAGCTCTTTTAAGAACTCCCAGGTGTCCAAGAGCCAAAGAGAAAAAAACGAGCCAGACTTTATTTAGTCTCCACATAACGAAGAAGTGGTGCAGGACCCAACGGCCTGAGGTGCTAAGTACTGTTTAACAGGCATGATGATTATAACACAGGCAGGGGTTTTTAGATATCTACATGGATGTGTTTAATTTTTTACATATTTAGAATATGTAAGGCCAACAAGAATATTGCTATGCGGTCAGCACTCCAAGATAAATATTGTTTTTGTAGCCAATCAAGGTCTGTTCTTGTTTGTTTTTTTGTCTGAACACAGCCTACCACTTTCCAAATTGGAATTAAAAGTAGATTACAGTCTGTTCATTTTCTGATTGCAGGCTTCCAAAGTATCACCAGGAAACATGCCCAGGAAGAAATTCTCTTGTTGCTTTGCAACAAGCTTGGGAATGATGCCCAGGACAGCACCCCCAGCAGAGGGTTTATAGCAGTAGATTCCCCCTGGGCACTGCCAAGTAGGAGGATTTTGTTTCCAATGACCACGCTGTTTCCTAGCAGAGCTTTCTCCATCTCCTTTCCCTGGCATGCCTCTTGGACGGTGTCGTGTCTGATCGAAACATACTCACTTATAAAACTCCCAAAAATGAACACGAAAGAATACTACCTGCATATTTTTTTTCCTACACCTTTTCCATAGAAGCAAAGTCACTTTGAACAGGCCAGGCAGGCAGGAACTCATGTCAGGTAGGCGGGGGTTATGTGGAACTGCAGTACAGACCATCAGTAAGGTGTGAGCAATGGGTCAACACAATGAGCAGCTTTTTATGTTGGAGTGGTTCTGCCAATGCTGTCACCACAGTGTCTTTCAAATTCAAATCCTATTTTTATCATAGCCTCTTTCACTTAAAAAAAATATCTATCTATATCTATCTATATCTATATCTATATCTATATCTATATCTATATCTATATCTATATATATATTGATTTCAGAGAGGAAGGGAGAGGGAGAGAGAGATAGAAACATCAATGATGAGAAAGAATCACTGATTGGCTGCCTCCTGCTGGGGATGGAGCTGCAACCTGGGCATGTGCCCTGATTGAACCGTGACCTCCTGGTTCATAGGTCAAAGCTCAAGCACTGAGCCACACTGCTGGGCGACTATCCCTTTGTAACGCCTGATGTGGGTAGATAGAATTCTGCAGTCCCTCCTTGGGTGTAGCCGATCTTCTTGCTAGTGATTAGAATGAACCCTGAATCTTTCATCCTTTTTTTAGGTTATAACTCTGTTATCTTCTACTTCATTATCTGTTTCACGTGGCAGAGATTGCCTAGCTCTTCGATCACCTTTGTTTTTCCTTCTTCCTGGGCACACAGCTAGGTTTCATTTCCCAGCTTCCCTTGCAATTGGGTGTGGCTCTGTGGCTGACTTTTGGCCAATGAACTATGAGTAGCCTGGCCCATAAAACCTCTCCAGGCTCCAGCATCTTTCCTCTTCTGCAAAGCTGAGGCAGAGTGGGAGGGCAGCTCCGGAAGCTGTATATTGGAGACGGTAGAGCCACGTTTGGCAGGAGTCTGGGCTGGACTTGACCCTGGTGAAAAATAAAGCTTAATTGTGATACTAAAGAAATTATATATTGTTTATAATTGTTTGTCATCTGAATTAAAATACCCACTAACCTGTATTATTACTAAACAAACATTCCTAAAGTTGGTGACAGCAGAAAGTAAGGTTTTAAAAATTCACATACTATTAGTTAACTTTAGATATCCTGAGTCAATGCTAGGAAACATCAAATGAAACAACATGAAATCTGACCCAATTAACCCATTATTTTTTAGTAGGTACTAATGCTGCTAAACTTGTGCCACTTTTTAGATAATTAAAACACACACACACACACACACACAAAATAAAACAAAAATCAGCATCCTACTGACAGTTAAATCAGCTACAATATTCGTAAGATAAAAATGAAGCTATTGCTCAGCTATAAATATTCTCAGTCCTATGATCAAACAGAACATTTTCCCCAAGGGTCCAAATAAACAGGAAACTACATGATACAATGGACAATATCTTTAACAGACAACACAGCCTGCCATCTACCCAGACTCTCTTAAACAAACCACAGGCGCATATTCCAGGAAATAATTTGAAAATGATTAAAACTAGAGATTAATTTGTTTTTAAAAATATATGTTTCTGTATAGTTTGAAGGGGCATTGCTGTACCAAAAAACCAAGATGAATGAAGGCCCCATTTTTTCTACTTTGCTTATTTCACACTCTGCTTTTGGCATGTGAGGATGCCAAAATGTTATGGGCTTCTAGACGTTTCTTCATGCACAAACAGGCTGCCGTCCGCTCTGCACTTACACACCATCACAATGTCCCTCTCCTGCTCTCCCACAGCCACTCGTTCTGCCGTGTGTGGTTTGCAGCTGCCACACATTTGTCTAAATGGAGTGACACACGTTAGGTTGTGAAATTGAAACGACTAACGAATATATGTCTTTCAAAATGGATGTTGTAGATCTTTCCCCGCCCCTCTTCCCTCAATTTAAAACTGAAACTTCTATTAAATTTCCATGAAAAGGACCTGTGGAAACAAAAACAGACTTTACACTGAAATACGCAGGGGAGAGGAAAGAGGGATATGGTGGATATTAGATAGATGTATTAGAGTAGATATTAATAGAGCAAAGGATGGTATATACTAAAGTTCTATCCCAAAATTGTATTAGATAGTGTATGCAAGCAGCAAAAGACTTACTGATAGCATTTTTAACCCAACAGGGGCTTATATTTCTTACACAATATGAAGGCTGGGAGTGTGTGATTGATGGTGTTGAATTATCAGCTCAGTGGGGTGTTGTCAGGGCTAATAGCCCTCAGTTATGACTGCCCCTGAAGCTGCCGTAGCTTCTAGCAGCACACCACTCTCAAGGAAGGAGGAAGAGAGAAGCCGCTCACAATAGCAACATTTTCTCTCGGGTCACAAAAGCTTTCTGTGTGTAGCTGTGTCACGTGGCATTTCCTAGACACAAAGGAGGCAGAGAAAGTGAGTGAGTGTTGGAGACACCATTCTCTAAGAAAGAATGGTGTGATGCTGGTGTGTCAGCCACATGTGCCCTGCGACTGGATGGCTTGTCGCGCGCGTGTCTTGCTGATCTCACAGCACATTCTTGAAGCCAAATGATGCTACGAGACATGCTTTTCTTAGTCCATGTTCCTGTAAGAACCATGAGGGGAATTTCATGTTTTAGAGAAAAGTGATGCTGAACCTTTCTTACTGGCTCCTGCTATCAAGTTGTGACTACCCATCAGCTCCTCCCCTTTGTCCCTACCTCAGACATTCAGACACTCACAATTAAATCTTATCTAGACTCTCTAAGAAAACAGGCCAAATTACCAAGAAACTTGGGTGAGAAAAAAACTCCCTGGTTTCTGAGTATTGAATCTATTCTAAGGCAGCATCTTAAAAATCACTTACTAAAGAGATTTTTGGACAGTAACATTTATATTAAAAAAAAAAAGAAAAAGAAAATCACAATATACAAAAACTTTGAATGCCCACTATACCATTAAAAGAGATTGGAGCTTTGAACAGTAAAGCCATCTTCCCCTTTTACACTGTGACAGGTAATGTGTGCATTTAGAATGGATCCATAGGACCATTGCCTTCCTAGTTATGGCATCTTCAGGATGGGGAGATAGTTTACAATCCAAGGAAGCACAGAAATTTCCTGCTGAAAAAGAGCAATGGCACCCCATCGCTCCACCTCAATCTACCCCCAAGCTCTGAAACAGAGTGGCGAATTATATTTAGCTGTAGCTGAAACGGCTCTGGTTTACCTCTGATTCCCTGCTGTGTGTGCAGCAGCTAAGTGAACTGTGCTGGGGAAGAGTGGGCTTAGGAATTCGGGCTACATTCAGCTACAATGAGCGGAATGTCTAGCAGAATTCCTCTGCGACGGCTTATTACGTTAAAGCAAATGAATTAATTACAGGACAGCCACTTGCCTGATTGCACCACTGAGTTGCATTCCTGCCAAAAGACTGGGCAAGCTGTTTATAATAACCTGGCTGCGTTTGAAAGCATGCCCCCCTGTTATGGGGGCCTCCCGAACCGAATAGAAGAAAGAGTGCATACAGAGAGGGAGAAAATTGGGTCCACATGGCGAACTGTATACAATGAAATTGCCTCCTAGAAAAGGGCTGCATTGCTTCCCAGCTCGGGTTAAGTTCTACCCCCAAGAAACATCTTTCAAGGGAAAGACTCTTACTGAGCTCTCAGTCTAGAATCCACTTTTAAAAAGCCCATGTGTGCAGCCACAAGAGGAAATGAGCACTGAGCATGCTACGACATGGACAAACCTTAAAGACATTACGCTAAATGAAAGAAGCCAACACAAAGACCACACAGCATATGATTCCCCTTATGTGAAATGTTTACAACAGGAAAACCCATAGAGACGGAAAGTGGGTTAGTGGCTGCTAGGGGTTGGGGGAAGAGGAAAATGAGGTGTAATTGCTAATAGGTACAGGGTTTCTTTTTGGGGGGTGGTAGAAATGTTCTGAAATTAGAAAGGGGCAGTAGCTGCACAGCATAGTGAATCTACTAAAAATCACTAACGCATATACTTTAAAATGGTGAATTGAATGTTATATGACATATATCTCAATTTTTTAAAGGCTAAAAAAAATAATCACATACGAGAGGATGATAATTAAAAAAAAACACACAATGACTAAGGGTATGAAAGGACTTTGGTATGCCTAACTCACCATTTTGTTTCTCTAAGTTGCATGATAAAATAGTGTATGCTCTATGATAATGATAATAATAATAACTAAGGTAGAAAGAGAAAAGATGCCCATCCTCTTGGCATTGCAGCCCAGCTGGTGAATTGATGGAGGTTGAATTTCCTCACCAGCCGCTATGGCAGGATTCCTCAGGGTCGGGAACAAATGGCACTAAACGTGGTTAAAGTTTGTTTCCAAGCCTTGCCTCCTGCTGCGATCTACCCACTTTCCCTTGGATATGTTAGGACTTTCCTACATCTGGGACTTTCCTCACACGTGGAACCTCTGCATACCCTATCAAATTCCTTCTCCTTCAAGGGTCACCTTATCCTCCTCTCTGAAGGCGGATCCTCCCGCAATCAGAGCTCCCCGCAGTGTGATATTTATCCCTCTCTTTTAAAAGTCTGGTTGGTAGTATAGACTGGTGTTGGCACATATCTCTTCCTTTCTCACCAGATTATAATGTCAGTGGTTCCAGGATTTCCATCTAACTCATATTTCTAATCCTTGCATGGACTAATAGAATACTACAATAGCTTGTAGGTGCTTCATATCTCCTGGTAGAATAGAAATAAAGGGATATGTGAACATCTCAAGACAAAACATGGAGAGCCACATGCAACACAGAAGATCTGAGAGATGTCTCACCCACGTTTTCTAGGCAGGAACTTTATCTATTTTTGCCGAGATTATAGACACACAGTGCCAACAAGGTGTGTCTCTAACACACCAGGTGTGGCTATTAAAAAGACTTTCATTAACAGTGATTGTAAAAGGGACCCTCCACATGTTGGCACTGGCAGCACTGACGGAATAAGCATGTAATGGTTATGCATTTGCTCCTTGGC